CCTTCCGTGTTTGAAAAATGGAAATCACATGCATAACTTATACCTAAGGAGTATGGATTTATGCTGTACCTCCGTGAATGCTGAGTATATACATCAATTATTTGGAATTCTTCTAAATGAGAAAAGATTTGTCTCTTCTTCATTTATTTACCTATTTGGCCATGTATGTGAATCAATGTGTATTCATCGGTATTTATTTTGTACTCTGTATTATATTTCAACTCTACTTTATTGTCAGGATTATTCCAATCCTGATCATTGGGAGCTCTTTTTGTTGGCTCCTTTTGACATTTCTGTGGGGTTTTCTCTTTAGCAGTTTCTATTTTCTGATGCTCTAAAATACTCCAGGATCATTTGTACATTTGTTGTCTCAGTCCTAGAATCAGACATTTTCTATTTCCTTTCTTGAAGAGTGATAGGAGAAACCAAGGTACGGGTACTAGGTGTGCTTGCTGATACTGACATGTCATTGCTGCCAGGATCTCTTAGCTGATGGAGCAGGGAGGTTTGGGTGTAATACTAATACACATTTACAAATGTATCTATAAGTCTTTGTATACATAATCATGTGTATGTATAGTAAGTTAAATGTGAATTAACACTGGTCTCTCAAACTGTACTCCAGTATCACTTGGGTCATTCTAGAGTGGCTTTGTATTGACATTGACTGGTATGTGCAGTATTACATGGTATAGCTTCAATAATACATCCATTTTAAAATTCTCTAACATAAAAAGTTCTTGTTAGTAGATTCATCCCACATTTCTGAGTACGTAATTTCTGCTGTTTATTTAAGAGTACTTATGTTTCACAAAGACAGGTACCAGTTACAATTCCAGTGAGTCCTGACACTTTCACTGTACTTTATTGGGAGTGTTCAATGCTGAATAAACACATCTGTGAATGTTGGGAAAGAATCATACTTTGTGTGTATATCAGGACTACATACTTTTGTTAGTATTGAGTAGGTACTAAGACTCATGTCAAGCTTATATTCAAAAGGGGGGCCTTTGTTTATATGGTACATTTATATAGTACATATAGCGATTAAGAACTTGGTTCAGGAAAACAGATTCCACCTGTGCTATTTATTGGCTCTTGAATTTTGGAGAAATTATTTAATCTCTGAACTTGTTTACAACTGAGAGTAAAATAATAATGATAGTGACTCCAAAGGTTGACTGTGATAATGTTAAACATGATACACTATACACATTAATGATATCTATTAGTTATGAAAGTCTCATGCCATTTATAAAGAGAATGTTGCTTGGAGTGGGCAGAACAAAACTCTGCTGGGAATTACATGGGAATACTGCTAGGAAGTTACTCAGCATAAGCATTCATAGGCATTTCTAAGGTCATCTAATTCTGTCTGTTCCTCCTTTGTTCCTTTCCTCATGTTTTCTCCACAGATCGTACCTTTTAAGTTCTTCTTAAAAATATGAGGAGTACTATAGAGAGTCAATCAAAGATGATCTTTGTTCCATTGTTATTCCTGACAATGCCATCATGAAATAGAGTTATAAGAAAATGATTTACTTGTATTATTCGGTCCCCATCCTGCTTTGTTATTTCTTTTAGAAGAGGAAACTTGACATTTCAAGTGGAAAGATTTGCTCTAGTCCATGCTGATAACAGTTTTCTTTTTCTCAGTTGCTCTGTGAGAAACAAATATGTTGTTGAATGCTAAGATGAATTCATTCATTCAGTAAGCACTTAGTGAGCTCCTACCTGGTAAAACTTTTCTGTTTTAAATACAGAGGTGGGATGAAGGTGCATCCAGTGTTCTGTGTTATTCTAATAGATTCTCCTTTTTTTTGGCTTAAGTTAGCCAGAATCAGTCTGTTGCATTTAGCCAAAGAACCGTAAGTGGTAGCTTAGCAAAGGTTTGGAGAAGTAAAAACTGCGATTTGTTTAATTAATAGTGAATAAACAGTCTAGTTAATAAGTAGATTACATATTGGAAAGCCTGTAGTTAGATATAAAGTTGGAAAGGTTGTTTGGGTCTGAATTGCAGAGGGCCTTTACTGCTAGGCTCAAGGGATCTAATTAAAGTCACATATTAGGAAGATTAAATGAGAGAGGAGGAGGAAGGCTTGGAGACAGGGTAATCAGGGTGGTTGGTGGCATAGCTTCTTTTGTAAATGCTTGCACTGTCCTGTATTATTTATTCAGTACATCATCATTTTTTGAGAACTGATTACATATATGTCAGGCTTATTGCTAGATGAAGACACAGCTCCTGTCTTCCCAGAGACCCCAAGTTGAAAAGTAATCAAGACTGTTAGTGTGAGAGACAAATCATTAGGATTCTGTGAAAACTATAGGTGTTTTATGTAAAAGAAAGTGATTTACTCTTTTGTTGAGCTAGGAAAGGCTTTAGCAAGGTGGTGATTTCTGAAGTTTTGCATAGAAGTGTACCAGGTGGTTACAGTGAAGATGGGCATGAGCACAGAGAATAACAGGAGTACTGGAAGTATATCAAGATTAGAGATATGAATTTAGGATCATAAATACATGATATGACAGTTTAAAATGGACAGAATTCCTTGGGGATACAGATGAGAATAAGGGAAGCAAAGCAAGGACTCAGTTTCAAGGAACCCACTAGTTAAAAGATGGGCTGAAAAGGAGGAAGCCAGAAGAGAACACAGAGGCAGAGGGAACCTTTGGGAGTGTCAATATCTGGGGGTCATGGAAGCCAGGAGAAGAGAAAGTTGCAGGATGAGAGGAGTAGAGTATTGGAGGCCACAAGATTAAATAAAAACTAAGAATGGCAGTTAGTTTGTATAAAGGAAAATTTATTACTAGTGAAAGGCATTTCAGTGGAATGAAGAGGCAGGAGTGAGATGATGGGGAGTGGGTGGGGTGATAAGGGAGGGAAACTGCCCTGGCTTTCAAGAAGACTAGCTGTGAATGAAGGAGAGAATTAGTAACAAAGAGGAATACAGGTCAAGGAAGAGTTTTTTCTTTGTTTTGTTAATGAGAAAAAACTGATGCATATTAGTCTAAATGTCTATGACATGGACTTTCTCAGTAATTTATTACCTTAAAGAAAATGTGTTCCTTTTCATATGTAAATATATAACTTCACTCGATTCAAGATACACTTGTCTTATTTTGTATTTCTGTTTTTATCACAAAAATACATTGCCATTCTAGTGTTAACTGTGTAGAGATGTTAGAGGGATTGAAATGTGCCTGAAGTAGATAAATTTGGAATCATACTGTAATTTTAATCTGGTTACATATAGATTTACCTTTTTGAAGGTATTTTTCTTAGGGAGACATTATACAGAAAACACCTTATGTGACAGCTCCCTTCCTTCCACAGTTTGGGGGAATAAAGGGAAGGGTTTGGGATTATCAGAATCTATTATTCTAGTAAAACTGTAACTTCTATTAAACATGTTCCATTTAGGATTAAATCTCTTTCTGAAGAACTAGTCAGCTAGTGGGTGTTGTACGTACTTTAAGCTTCATGACTTTTCTGATCTGTATTAGTGTCATTAGCTTCCACCTGATATAAACCTAATGTTAAATAAAGACAAAGAAATTTGTTCACAAAAGAAACCAAACTATGGTAAAGTCAAGTAAAACCTGTTTTAGTTGTTTCCAAATAGGAACTAACTATACTTATCTCTTGGTCTTACAGCTTTCTTCTTTCTAAATATTGCCTTCATTTTCAGCCACTACAAACACTTTTTCCTTGAATCAAGAGCATTGGATGCCCACAGCTTCTAGGCACATGCTCTCAATACCAAGGGTAGAGGAAAAGACTTTCCTCTTGCTCCAGAAATTTGATTGGTTTCTTTGGGTCATATGCTTACCCTGCCCCCCAAACCAATGTTGACCCAGAGGAGTTAAGCTGCTAAATTAGTTCAGATAGGATGAGATGCCTGTCCTTTGCCAGGTCACCATGACCAAAAAGACAGAGTGATGTAAGGAGACAGCATTCTCCATTGACCTGCTGGGTGAAGGTGATGTTTCAGAGAAGTGGTGGCTATTACCTGAGAAGAGATGGGTGGTAGGCAGGAAAGTATAAATGTTCAATAAGCTCCATTAGCACAAAACTTAGGTAGAGACTGTGAAAAAAATGGACTGATCAATTTGGAATGAGATTCCAGGAAGTTTTTTGAAGTCATGTGTTAGAATATGTCTCTCCTACAGAAGGGGATTACAGTTGGGTTATAACATGATTGTGAACAGAGTTAATTAACCCACACACAGAGTCTTAGCACTTCACAGTTTTCATTGATATCAAGCTATTTGAGCTAAAAATTATCCAGTACATACTTTTTAAAATCTCCATTTTTGAGAGTCTCAGAAAAAAAAATCATATTTCTTGTCCGGGATCTCATAACCAGTGAGTAAGATAGTAGTTTTGGGTTTGGTTTTGTTATTTTAATTTTGGCAGAACTGTGGCTTGAATTCAGGACCTCAAACTTGTTAGGCAAACACTCTTACCACTTGAGCCACTCCACCAGCCCACATGCTTTGGGTTTGGAATCAGCAGTCCAGACTTCAAATATTTCTTCTAGCATACCGTGTTCTTAATGTTACTGAAAATATAATATTTAAAGGGTTGAAAGTCTTTGTTCAGTGATAGGAAGTATTTTTATATGTGACTTAAATTGTATCCATTTTTGATTTCTAATATATTAATAAAGTTATGACTTTGCAAACTCCTCAGGCTACCACTAAATCTGCTGTTGTTGATATATTGTCTTCTAAAGAACAAGATGATTTTCAGACTCTCTTAAAAATGTATGGCATTTCTTAATAGTAAGGTACTCCCTAGGATGACATATCTCCAAGTGTCCTAGAAAAGGACACTTTTAATGTGGTTTCTAACCTACCAAGAATGATATTCTCATTTGCCTTATATTCTCTAATCTGATTGATGAGAGGGGGAAAAGTGTGTAAAAATAGAAAGTTTTAAAATATTAAATTTATTTGTGTCCTTGGTGATTCCTTGATATTATTGTTTGTTTCAGATGAGAAGAAACAGATGGTTGCAAATGTGGAGAAACAGCTTGAAGAGGCAAAAGAACTGGTACGTAGAGACTTACAAAGCATTTTAACACGTACAAGGGATGTCTTCCTGCTCTGTTGTACGCATTGTGGAAATGTGGACCATCACTGACTAGTGTTTTTAACTGAGAACCCACCAGTTTCTAAAATGAAGAGAATTTAATAGCGTCTTGATTTTATTCTTTTGTGAAGGTGATTCATTGAATGTCAGCCTGTAATTTTTGTGTGCATGTGTTTTTGAGACAGGATCTCACAATGTCGCCCGGGCTGCCTCAGCCTCCTGAATGCTGGGACCACAGGCCTGTGCCAGCATGCCCAGCCTTCTACCTCTAACTTTTATTTCCTTCAGAGTACTTTTTTTAAGAACTGTAAATAGCTAGTGTTGGATAAAGGCATATTGGGTACGAGACACTGGGGTAAGCATATTATTTGCTTTATAATATTTAACTTTCTTGAAAATCCTGTGAGACAAATACTGTTTGACAAAAACCATGGAGGGTCTGCAAGCTAAGTGAACTTGCCACAGTTTTATGGAAGCCCATAGAAGATAGGAGACTTCTAAGTCAGAAGCAAAAGACTTTTATTACACACCACAAACATATCTGCCAGAGTTTCAACCTGTTTGCATCAGTTTCCTGAGCCCCAGTTTCCATAGGGGCAATGCAGGTGTATGCTTACATAGACAGTGGGATACCTTACGGGAGAGGAACACAGAGCCTGGAAAATGAACCACTTCATAGCAGCCTGCAGAAGGCTGCTCTTTGACCCAGAAGGACACATCATTTACTTCCTCCAAGTTTGCTCCCTTTGAACAGGACAGTGAAAAATGGCATGGACAGAGTGGTTAGAACCTTGCATTCTTGGCATACCCAGAATGAGAGAACCATGGTGAAGTGATGCCCACAGTTTTGTTACCACCGTTTTGTAGATGGGAACTGAGGCTTAGAAAAGTGAGGTAACTTGTCCGAGGTTCCACATCTTATTAAATGGTACAGTAAGGATTTGTACCTAGATACGCTAAACCTGGAGTTCTAGTGCATATGCTACTTTTTCATAGAAATAAATTCCTAATCATGGAGCAAAAGCAAGGGTGAAAGTATTGTGTCAAATTTTTGCTTTTAAAAGCCAAGTTTTACAAGTGTGATTCAATTTTCGACTGTGCATTATAGTCCCAAATGAGGTGTTGCTTCCCTAAATACTGAAGGGTACTGCTTGTTCTTCCTTCTGTGCTACTTGCTGATTGACTTAAAACAGTTATCAAAAGTGTTGCTATTAACTGGTATCATGTGTTAAGCTACAGTTTGGATAGCTGTAGCTTAAATGGAGCTGAAGGATGAGGGTCTTTGTTTTTCTGTAGAACCTTCTTGGATGCTTAGGTAGGCTCAAGGACATTGAATCTCTTAAGAAGGGACTCTGGAGGGCAGCTGAAGCCTGGAGTGTTTCCCAAGCTTATTCGAATATTGTTTGTCAATAGAACATGCATGAGGGGCTGCAGCTACTCACTCTGCAGTTGAGTAGTCAGATGTTTCCATCCATTGTACAGCAGACATTTCCTCTGTGTCTTTAGTCACTAAGACACAGACCTACAGAGCTGTTACTGGTTTGTTTCTAGCCATTGTAATAACTGGTGCTCTCTGTGCTCTGTAAAGTCTACTAAGCTCTGCTGGCTGCTGCACCTATCTCTACAGTGACAACATTACCTCAATCTCCATGACTTCTAATGTCTTCCTCTCTTTTAAAAGCTTCCTTCCATTTTATGCATTTCTCTTTACTTTAGATTCTTTTTGTATTCAACTGCTTCTCTTGTGGCTCCTGGCTTTCATGTAAAAAGACTGACTTTGTGTATACCATAGCAGCCAGGCACAACAGATTCTTCTGTGGTTGGTAGGATAACCTTAATAGTGTAACTGGTCTGCTGAACAATTGGTTTATGTTACTCCTTGGACAATGCACATCTTATAATTATCATGTCTTCACTCTCTGATGGCCACAGGAATGTTGTGACAAACATAGAACAAGTGCATGTTACCCCCATTCCAAGTTTCATTTTAAGTGTTTGCTGGTTTTTTTTTTTTTCCTTTTACTTTCTTGCTTTTCTTTCCTCTTGGTTTCCTTTTCCTTTCTTGCCTACTATTAATTTCATTTTAAATGTCTTGTAAAATGCTTTGCACAAAAATGTACTCAGCTCTCAGGTTCTGACTTACATGCATTTGTGCAGTTGTCTGGATGATCCCGTTCGCTATGTTAAAAGCCAACAGTTAATGATGGTTCCAGAGATGTGCTTTAAGTAACTGCTTTGCTGAGTAATGCTTTAATTTATTGGTGCTTCACATTTGTGTTGAAACATACCAATAACTTAAATCATCATTGTTTAAATCAAGGCTAATTAAAACTGTTTTTTCTTATAAAAGTAGGGGTCTGTTAATTGAAATTGATTATCTGGGTTCTCTGTATTCTATTATAATTATTCAGTCTCACACTGGACAATAAATAAATGTATTGTTGCAAAATACATTGCAGTATTCTTGCATGTTACCAGATGTGGCCTGGGACAATGTATTCATGTTTACTCTTTTTTCATACTTTTAATGCCAAATACAAATAAGCTACTTTTGCTCCTTTATATAGTGCTTGCTCTATTTCTTCTTCATCATAAGTAATCATCGTTGTTATAGTTAATGTCAATCTAGTAATTGAGAGATCCTGTTTTAAGTACATTATAGGAATTACCTCATTTATTCTTTACAGCTGCTCCAAGAAAGAGAGATTATTCTTAGAAATGAGAAAAATAAGGCAGAGAGACTAACAAGTTTCCACAACTAGCACATAGAGGAGCCTACAACATGAACACAGGAGTCTCACTACAAAGCCCATGTTCTAAACCATTATAGTCTGTCCACATTGCTGCCCATTACACTCCCAAGTGTTATGTGACTACAGGTTGCTCAAAATGCCCTGCTGTGATTTCAGAGAGCTATGTATAACTTAGGACATTGTGTATTCATTTAACTCCATATGGTTATAAGGTATAAGGAATTAGACTGGAGGTTGTGATCACATGTTGGTTGGTCATTTCCTAGGCAGAAATGACTTTTGAAAAGATGTTTCACTACATAACTGTGGCTGGGCTGATGTTTCGTGGATTAGGCACAGGAAATAATGATTTTGTTTTCCAATCATTCTGGAGTTTCATGGTCAGAAGACCAGTTTGGACTGAATGATGGAGTACTCCAAGAATATTGAAATTAAATTATTGAGAATGTTTGGATTAATGCATATGTTTTAAAAGAAAGTTGACAAAAGTAAGCAGCTTGGCACTCTGTATGTCCATTGGCAAGTACTCAGTGACTTGCTTGTTGAACTGAGTACAAAAGTAGTTCCATTTGATCGTGGGCAGTGCATTTATTATGGATAGTCAGCATCATGGGCCTGGTCCTCAACTACAGAATGAGGATGTAGAATTAAATCCTTTCAACTCCAAACATTTGGTCAAATAAAGAATAAGAATATGGTGTAAGTCATACTTTTTTATACCACTTCTAGCTTGAACAGATGGATTTGGAAGTTCGAGAAATACCACCCCAAAGTCGAGGAATGTACAGTAACAGAATGAGAAGCTACAAGCAAGAAATGGGAAAACTTGAAACAGATTTTGTGAGTTAAATTCTATCATTTGTTATACTTATTGAATTCTAAACTGCATTTTCACTCATGCTTTTTATTGTTTTCTCCTCGTGCCTTATTCACCATTAAATGCATGGTCTTCAGGGCTCCTTGAAGGGCCAATCAGCAGCTTTCATTGTTTATGAGTTAGAGATAACACATGAGTACAGAGACAGCCATGGATGGAATTTAAAGTATGTTGGATTCATGACTCACAAATAGATCCAAATCATTTGATCCTTTGAATCTGGATCGTACTTACTGGTACTTAGCCTTTATTAGAATTTCAAAACCCAGTTTCTGGCTTTCAGAGTGTGTATCCTTTAAGGTGGGGTTTTGATAGGGGACATCAGGACCTAAATCTCGTGAAAGGTTATCCCTATCTTTGGGCACATGTTTCTTTTATTTTTTGCTGTATTGGGGCTTGAATTCATGGCCTTCACCTTGAGCCACTCCACCAGCCCTATTTTTTTGAAGGGTTTTTTGAGATAGGGGCTCATTGAACTATTTGCTCGGGCTGGCTTTGAACCATGATCCTCCTGATTTCTGCCTCCTGAGTAGCTAGGATTACAGGCCTGAGCCACTGGCACCTGGCTGGGTACACATTTCTATGTGCATTTTACCTCCTACATTCATTAGAAAAGGATATATATGCCCCTTCCTCCAAAAGATGACAAGAACTACTTTCAATTAATAATTTGTATAAGTGATCCTTATATTGATTGCCCCATGAGAACATTTAGCTTTCTCTTCCTGTATATTATTAAGCTTTTAACTCTTCCCACTTTATAGAAAATATAAAAATGTAAATTTAAAGTCATAATGTTGAAGTTGCCAGTCATTAAAGTAAAAAAAGACACAGCTAAGCAAATTCAACTTCTGGCTATATAATAAAAAAAAAATGGAAATCAAGGTCTTAAAAAGATATTTGCACACCCATGTTCTGAGCAACATTTTCATTGTATTAAAGAGGTAGAACAACCTACATGACCATTGATGAATGAATGGATAAACAAAATGTCTTTGCATATAATGGGATATTATTCAGAGTTCAAAAAGGAGATTCTGACACATGCTACAAACATGGATGAATCTTGAGGACATTATTTGCTAAGTGAAATTAGTCACAAAAAAACAAATACCATATAATTTTACTTATATGAAGTCTTGAGAGTAGTCAAATTCATAGAAACAAAAAGTACAATGGCGGTTTTCAGGGATGGGGCAGGAGAGAAATTGCTCTTTAATGGGTATAAAGTTTCAATTTTGCGAGATGAAAAGTTGTGTTAAGCAGCTACAACAATGTGAATGTACACTGAATTATTCACTTAAAAATAGTTAAGATGGCAAAGTTTCTATTACCTGTATTTTACCACAATTAAACATTTTTAAAATATACAGATAAGTATGTATGAAAAGCTGCTAATAAAAGGATAAAGAACTTAATGCAGTGGTAACTAACTGCTTTTGTATAGGTTCACATAGGAAATTAAGATTTCAGTAAATAAATTTCATATCATTCACATTAATAGAAAACATGGAGGTAAGAAGAGATCTGAGACTTGCCTGTGAGTGGCAAAACTCATATGTTGGCACATAAATCAGTTGTATTTCTGAATCTGGGTCCGAATTCACAAGGGGAGTCAAGAATTTGGCATCTTCCCTACTATAGATATTTTACTTTTGGAGGCTATACCTTCTACAATATGCTGTATGTAACTTTCCACTACAAGGATAATGGTAATGGGCCTGTAGAAATTCCTCCCAAGGCAATACTCAGTCAAAAGAACAATGCAGGAGGTATCACAATACCTGACTTCAAACTGTATTACAAAGCAATAACAATAAAAACAGCATGGTACTGGCACAAAAACAGACATGAAGACCAGTGGAACAGAATAGAGGACCCAGATATGAAGCCACACAACTATAAGCAACTTATCTTTGACAAAAAGGAGCTAAAAATATACGATGGAGAAATAGCAGCCTCTTCAACAAAAACTGCTGGGAAAACTGGTTAGCAGTCTGCAAAAAACTGAAACTAGATCCATGTATATCACCCTACACCAAGATTAACTCAAAATGGATCAAGGATCTTAATATCAGACCACAAACTCTTAAGATGATATAAGAAAGAGTAGGAAATACTCTGGAGTTAGTAGGTATAGGTAAGAACTTTCTCAACGAAACCCCAGCAGCACAGCAACTAAGAGATAGCAGAGATAAATGGGACCTCATAAAACTAAAAAGCTTCTGTTCATCAAAAGAAATGGTCTCTAAACTGAAGAGAACACCCACAGAGTGGGAGAAAATAGTTGCCAACTATACATCAGACAAAGGACTGATAACCAGAATATATAGGGAACTTAAAAAACTAAATTCTCCCAAAACTAATGAACCAATAAAGAAATGGGCACGTGAACTAAACAGAACTTTCTCAAAAGACAAAATTCAAATGGCCAAAAAACACATGAAAAAATGCTCACCATCTCTAGCAATAAAGGAAATGCAAATTAAAACCACGCTAAGATTCCACCTCATCCCTGTTAGAATAGCCATCATCAGCAACACCACCAACAACAGGTGTTGGCGAGGATGCGGGGAAAAAGGAACCCTCTTACACTGTTGGTGGGAATGTAGACTAGTACAACCACTCTGGAAAAAAATTTGGAGGCTACTTAAAAAGCTGGACATCGATCTACCATTTGATCCAGCAATACCACTCTTGGGGATATACCCAAAGACTGTTACTCCAGAGGCACCTGCACATCCATGTTTATTGCAGCACTATTCACAATAGCCAAGTTATGGAAACAGCCAAGATGCCCCAGCACTGACGAATGGATTAAGAAAATGTGGTATCTATACACAATGGAATTTTATGCAGCCATGAAGAAGAACGAAATGTTATCATTCGCTGGTAAATGGATGGAATTGAAGAACATCATTCTGAGTGAGGTTAGCCTGGCCCAAAAGACCAAAAATCGTATGTTCTCCCTCATATGTGGACATTAGATCAAGGGCAAACACAACAAGGGATTGGACTATGAGCACATGATAAAAGCGAGAGCACACAAGGGAGGGGTGAGGATAGGTAAGACACCTAAAAAACTAGCTAGCATTTGTTGCCCTTAACGCAGAGAAACTAAAGCAGATACCTTAAAGCAACTGAGGCCAACAGGAAAAGGGACAGGTACTAGAGAAAAGGTTAGATCAAAAATAATTAACCTAGAAGGTAACACCCACGCACAGGAAATCAATGTGAGTCAATGCCCTGTATAGCTATCCTTATCTCAACCAGCAAAACCCCTTGTTCCTTCCTATTATTGCTTATACTCTCTCTACAACAAAATTAGACATAAGGGCAAAATAGTTTCTGCTGGGTATTGGGGGGGCGAGGGAGGGGGGAGTGGGTGGTAAGGGAGGGGGTGTGGACAGGGGGGAGAAATGAACCAAGCCTTGTATGCACATATGAATAATAAAAGAAAAATGAAAAAAAAAAAAAGAAATTCCTCCCAAGAGTCTAGAAATAGGGTGATTTGTGGTATACGTGTTTTATTTTAATGGATATTTTTCTGAGAAGTTGATATAGGCTACATTAGTCATTATGTCATCTTCCTATCACTATGACAAAAATACCTGAGATATTCAGCTTCTAAAGAGGAAAGGTTGATTTTGACACACTTCAGAGGTTTCAGTCCATGGTCAGTTGGCTCCATTGTTTGGGGCTTTGGGTGAAGTAGAGTATCATGGTGGGGAGCATGTGGTGGAGTAAAGCTGTCACCTCATGGCTGCCAGGAAGCAAAGAGAGAGGCAGGAAGGGACTTGGTTCTCGACACCCTCTTTAAGGGTATGCCCTAGTACGTAACTTTCTTGTATTAGTCCATACTTCCTGAAGATTGTACCCCTCCCAGTAGGGCCACAAGCTGGCAACCAAAAGGCACATGGGCCTTTGGGGAGCATAATAGTCACTCTGATGCAACTGCTCCTTTGTATTTGAAGAAATTGCAGTCCATGATGGACTTGAATTCAGCAAAGAAATGTAAATGCTTAGCTTCTGTGCTGTGTGCTAGATAAAAACTTCTTCAGCTGCTCTGAGAAAGGGTAGTTTCTCTCAGCAAGAGTATGAGATATGGTAAGAAAATTGGATTAATTTAAGAATTTTTGCCAGACACTGGTGGCTCATGCTTGTAATCCTAGCTGCTTAAAAGACTGAAATTGGGAGGATCATGGTCCATGGCCAACTCAGGCAAGAAAGTTCCTGAGACTCTCTCAATGGAAAAGAGTTGGGCATGGTGGCATGCACCTCCCTACTCAGCTATAGCGGGAAGCATAAAAGGAGGATCACAGTCCAGGTCAGCCTGGGCAAATGCAAGACCCTGTCTCCAAAACAACCAGAGCAGAAAGGGCTGGAGGTGTGGCTCAAGTGGCAGAACTCCTGCCTAGCAAGCACAAAATCTGAGTTCAGTACCACCAAAACAAACAGAAAATTTGGCCACTTAGATTTTTTTATACTTAGAAAACGCTAAGTTAGTGTTCACTATAAGTGATTAAAGTAAGATAAATATTCATAAGGATTATTTTAGTTTCCCTAATTCATTTTTTTGTACAACGCTTTTCTAAAGATTTTCTTGTGGGTTCTAAATAAACAGAGTGTACTAGCTTTATAGAGCTGTGGTAACAAAATCCCGTGGTCTTGGTAGCTTAAACAGCAGAGATTTGTTTTCTCACAATTCTGGACTCTGGAAGTCTGAAGTCAAAGAGGTAACAAGGTCATTTCCTTCTGAGGCCTTGCTCCCTGGCGAGGTGGACTCTCACTCTCTCATACAGTCTTCTGCATGTGTCTGTGTCCTGCCTTTCTCTTCTTAGAAGGACACCACTCTTCAAAGCCTACACTATACACCTTGTTTTAACTTTTTACCTATTTGAAGACTATCTCCAAAAATAGTTACATTCTCAATACCGAGGACTAGGACTTCAACATATAAATT